CCTTCAGTCTTCTATCTGACCTCCGTCCTCCCCTTCAGTCTTCTATCTGACCTCTGTCCTCCTATCTGACCTCCGTCCTCCCCTTCAGTCTTCTATCTGACCTCCGTCCTCCCCTTCAGTCTTCTATCTGACCTCCGTCCTCCCCTTCACTCTTCTATCTGACCTCCGTCCTGCCCTTCAGTCTTCTATCTGACCTCCGTCCTGCCCTTCTCTCTTCTATCTGACCTCCGTCCTCCCCTTCACTCTTCTATCTGAGCTCCGGCCTTCACTTCAGCCTAGCACAGTTGTACCGGCTCCTCGCCTGGACTGGAATTTCTTCCTCTGGTGTCACTGCACGCTGGGAGCTTCTCACAGTGTGCATTAGAAGCTGCAGCAAGTCAGATAGAGCTCCGCCTCATTTATTTATTCCTCCCCAGCCTGACTGTCCCTGGCCTGCCCCTTCATTCATTGCATTTCAGCTCTGTACATCATGGAGGTTCAGCATCACATAATAGTGTTACCTAGGGCTGGCTGCTATATACATAACAATTCCACATGTTGATGACGGGGAGAGCCAGAAAAGGCAAAATATAAGCAGATTAAACTTCAACTTTAAAAAGACAAAACATATGGTATACATGTATAGAGGATGAGGAGTGTATTGCACGTCTTCTTTTTTTTTTTTTTAACACTGGTATAGAAGCCCAAAACATGGAGTTGGCCTTTAAGCGGGACGGTACAGTCTGCTGATGTAATGCAGCCACGAATAGGAATTCACAAGTTATACATTGAAAAGGGTTTTGGTTTTCTTTCAAACCATTCATACATATTGATTACATTACGTTCATAAGGTTTATCATTTTCTGATCAGGGATCATTACCTGTTTCTGGCGCTCCAGTTCAGCCTCCAGTTCCTGCTTCCCCCTCCTCTGCTCCGCCATCTGCTCTTGCAGATCATTCATCTGCTCCCTCGCTGTTTCTGCTTCACTTACTTGTTGAGACTCCAGATCCTGGAACGGGGGAAGATATGAAGAATTACGGTCTGCGTATTATCCAAGGATATAACATACTCATGGGGAGTATTACAGAAAGCAAAGACAGAGATGAGAATTCCTCACACTCAGTGGAGAAAACCCGAAAAGTGCATTCCGAATGATGTCACCGCTCTCTAGTGATCGGATAGGCTGCATTATCAGTGATGTCACCACTCTCTAGTGATCGGATAGGCTGCATTCTCAGTGATGTCACTGCTCTCTAGTGATCGGATAGGCTGCATTATCAGTGATGTCACCACTCTCTAGTGATCGGCTAGGCTGCATTATCAGTGATGTCACCACTCTCTAGTGATTGGATGGGCTGCATTATCAGTGATGTCACCGGTCACTAGTGATTGGATAGGCTGCATTGTCAGTGATGTCACCACTCTCTAGTGAATGGATGGGCTGCATTATCAGTGATGTCACCGGTCACTAGTGATTGGATAGGCTGCATTGTCAGTGATGTCACCACTCTCTAGTGATTGGATAGGCTGCATTGTCAGTGATGTCACCGGTCTCGAGTGAATGGATAGGCTGAATGCTCAGTGATGTCACCGGTCTCTAGGGAATGGATAGGCTGCATTCTCAGTGATATCACCACTCTCTAGTGAATGGATAAGCTGCATTCTCAGTGATGTCACCGGTCTCTAGTGAATGGCTAGGCTGCATTCTCAGTGATGTCACCGGTCTCTAGTGAATGGCTAGGCTGCATTCTCAGTGATGTCACCGCTCTCTAGTGAAGGGATAGGCTGCATGCTCAGTGATGTCACCGGTCTCTAGTGAAGGGATAGGCTGCATGCTCAGTGATGTCACCGCTCTCTAGTGAATGGCTAGGCTGCATTCTCAGTGATGTCACCGGTCTCTAGTGAAGGGATAGGCTGCATTCTCAGTGATGTCACCGGTCTCTAGTGGATGCATTGGCTGGAATCTCTGATGAGGCACGCACCTTATTTTTACGAAAACTGCAAGCATGGAGCAGTGAAGCTGCATTTTATAGCATCCAGATGACATTTTTCTAGTGCATGTAAAAACACATGAACATTGGCTGCTATGGACAACACATGCACATTCTTGGTTTGAAGATTTTAAACCGTGATCTCATAACTTGGTTCCTCTTCCTCGGATCCTCACTGTCCGATAGTGGGGCAGAGATCACTTACAGCTAAAGTTACTTTGCATGCTGCTGCTTTGTCCTGCTCTACTTGCAGCTCTGAGGCTCTCTGGAGCCACTGCTGCCGATCAAGCTGCTAAAGCCAACTCGTAAGCCAAGGAAGAACACCACGCTGGGGTCACTGTCAATCACTATGCTGAAACCTCCCCGCAAGCAGATAAGGAGAGTCATGTAGGGCAGCTTCCAGAGGAGAAAATAGGAAGTGAACCATTTCTGGGGCACACGCAGTGAGAGTGGCAAAGCAGATGAAGATCGATCAAATGAAATAGCGTTGCCACTCTAAATAGGGGACAAACATGGATCAACCAGCTATTTACGAAGTACGATTATAGTAACGCACAAAAAAGCACACAGCAAGAGGAATCAGTTTGAAAGCCACAGGCACCATAAAAAAAAATAATTGGGTTTACTGACGCTTTAAGCCAGTACGTAACTGACAGGAGCAGGAGTATGTGGGAACATCCTCCTACCTGTAACTCGGCTTTTAGCTGCTGAATCTGAGACAGAAGTTTCTGGATCTCTTCCCTCTGCATGTCTCTCTCGTGTCTCATCTCCTCAAACTCCATGCTGCTGGCTATATGGCTATCCAACCCTTCCACACCTGAGCCCTCTTTCAGGCTGCTGATCAGTTTCTCTTTGGACTGTAAGATACAAGGAAACATAAAGAGATGAGAACAAACCACAGTTTTTAAGTAGACTTTCCAGTGTTCTTAGAGAGTTAGACAAGAGAAAACAAAACATTTCTGGG